CCGTGAAGTGTTGATATGACTTTCAGTTTGTGAACTGTGAGAAGTAATCCAGTGTTCTCAGCGAGGGATTTAAGACGGCGCAGCGACCCTCCATTTATCTTGAGCACCCTCCTTTGTTTTTGGTCAACAGCTATTCCAATCATGTCCCAGAAGATGCCCTGACAATGTTTTTGAGGAACCTCTTATAGATATGCTAATTATATGCAAATTATACACACTACCTTTTAAAAGATGGATGGCCATCATTGCCATTAGCAGTAGTATTTTGGTATGTTTAAAAATATTAGAATTATTTACAAAGCAACATTCAAAACCTGACCTAAAATCAAACTGTGCACCCACATCTCTATACAACATTCAGGAGATTTAAATACTGTACTTCCCCGATCATAAGCCCAGGGGCCTGAACATGTAAAATCGGCAAGGTCCGCCTCACAAAAGATCATTTGGGGGGGGGGGGGGGGGTAAAATTTTAATCATCTCCCAGCCATGAAAAATATTGCATCTTTTTGAGGAAAAAAATGCAAGACGAGTCGTCATTGATTTCCACAACACTTTACAAACTACAATGAAGAAACAAACATGTTCATAAAAATACACACTTTTTATTACAATACGGTTTTACCTACAATCCGGTGCAAAAATGGGTAGGGTCTGTGGTGTGGAATGTTTTCGATCGTATGCAAACTCTTGATACAAAGCAATTTCCGCCATGATGTTTTTCATCATGATTTGACCTGAACGTCTTTCGTTAACCAATCAACATGCTGTGTCGTACAGACGAAGGTTTCTGATTATTGAGGAAGTATTTTTTTCAATGCAACGGTAAATTACAGCAATGTTAAAATGTGATCTGTTAACACTGATTTCGACCAAAAAAAAATGATTTTTTTTCCCCTTAAAAGCTGTTGATTTGAATTTTCGAAAGGTAAACCAAGGATGGAGAAGTATTTAAACCTTTCACAGTCACCAACAAGTAGTGTCGAAAAATAGTTTGCTCATTCACACCCGCCCCCATTCACGATAGTCTCAATGGACACATTATTCAGAAAAGTAAAACGATGTTCAATGACCAGGTTTTACGAATTGATGATCACATTTTTGGCATTTCAAAAACTACTACTCAAAGAAATATGGATTACTTAGTATTGCAACATTGGGGTTCATCCTGAGTAAATAACAGAAGATGCGAACCAAACCACCATTTTTATGCAATGAAATACACTTTTTACATGCATAAATGTCATCAACGTTCAGTAAAACCACCCTGGGCCTATACTCGGGGATGCCATCAACTCCTTAAATGTCTGAAAACAGAAAAGTGGGCTTATACTCTAGGAGGGTTTATGCTCTGGGAAGTACGGTTTTATTACACACAAGGTTTCTAGGGTCTATGATCTGACCTTCTTATAAAGTAGGTCTATTGATAGTCAAATGTTTTGATTCAGAGATAAAGTACAACAAATTTGAATATTTGATTTAGTGGAGGTACCATCACAGCATGTTGTGGAAGTTCACTGTGCGTAATCACTTCACTCAATTAACAAGATAAATTCCACAGAAAGAATAATAAAACAACAATAAATGGTCTAGCAAACTAGTTTCTCTTAGAGGTCACACGAGTTCACCCACGTACGAAACCAAACAAGACAAGAATGAATGTATGCGTATGCGTGTTGATGTACTGATTAGGGAGGCAAATATTAAGCAATTAGACAAAGCTAAAATGGACAAAAAACAGTGCCACAATTTATGATAACCCAAACGGTGTCAGCTCGTAAATCACATACACGAGCATCCGGGCCTTTCCGTTTTAGCGATAACCGGTCAAAGTTACGAGTAGCAAAAATAACATCAGCATTTATTCACGAGAAATACATGTTATTCATCAAAATAGTTATAACTAGGCCAAGCCTATGTCGATATAGTTATTCTTCACGTAACGCATGCATCGTGATTCATAAAATAATTGGGCGAAAATTCATGACTTTAACAGTCACGTTGCATTCGTACTCACCTTCTACAACCGGCAAAATGGCGGACGAGGAACGAGGAGGATTCTGGGAAAGTGTGACATCACAGCTGGCTCGTACATCACTTATTCTAAAACATCTGTAACGCTTTAGAAGATTGTAAATCGAAATCGCGTACGAGGTTAATTACATATGGCGGACGTGGCGATGGTTTCGTGGATGTTCATTGACTGATTCATCGCCGATAACACCCAAACATTGACGCTGTACACGACGCAAAAGACATCTGACAAATAATTTGGTCTCCACAGTCTTGCTGAAAGTGTTGTTTAGTTGTAACCGGTAAGATATCTTGTTTATAATCATTTGCTGTGATTCAGGAGGTGCATCATTGTGACATTTACGATAAAAGATAAGGTACATAGTCTTGTGACGATTGGTAAAGGCGAAGTCGGTGGTCAGACTTTTTATTGGACCAGTTATTGTATGTAATTGTTAACGACACTGTGAAACCCAATATCTACAATAAATTAGTGAAAATTAATATTAATTAATTGTATTTTAATCTATTTTAATCTAAGTACGGCATTTGACTTTTGCCACATTCCTATATCATCTCTGGTACACATTGGCCGTAACCGTTATTTGTTTTAAAACACTGTTAACACATCGTCATGAACACCTTCGCTCCCTTTGTATGTCCTAGGTTAGGGAAACAACAACTTTTGATGTGTCAGTCAACACATATAATGTTCACGTGAACTATGTTAAAGTAGATGGGTTAGGATTCATTCATAAAAAAAATTAGATTAATTTTGATAATATATTTTTCTGTACATTTATAATTGTTTGTAGTAAAAATATTAATTACACTGACTTTTGAGTTAATAACCAAAATGCAATGATTTAGTTTATAAATGAATATACACCATAATCTTAAATCTGTCCTATTTGGCATTCCATTCCTATGAGCTAATACATGCACAACATTAATCATCCTCACCCCAGAGAACACTTCCTTGGACCTCCATTAATTCTGAGTTAGAGAAATTCGGATAAAACGTATTATGTTTCTGTTTCGTGTTGTTTACATATGTATCACTCTTGAAGTAAGTAAACGTTCTAATAACAGCCAAGAAATGCAATATTGATTGACATGCAAATAAAGTTGTTGAATCAGTTTTTAAGAAAATGTCAAGAGTTTACTGAGTGAAATTGACAGGACAATGCCAATGTAGAATTGTGCCCTTCCTCCGCTAGATTTTAATTTCGCTATTTTCGCCTAGAAGAAACATTAATTTAAACCCACATGAAAATGTGAAATAACAATAGAACTCACTGTTTCCCTGTCAAGTTTGTACACTTAAAACCTAGTAAAATTGCTCAAAGCATCAAAAAACACTTTTCAGTGATCAGGTGACATGTATGACAAAATACCCTTTAGTGATCAGGTGACATGTATGACATCTTTAAAAAAGTATGTATTCTGACACATGAAATAAAGTAGTCCAAAATAACATAACAATCGGTAATTTCTCTTCTTTGAGTACTAGTAATGTACAAACACAAGACAAAATGTCCATACTAATTAATTATGTATACTTTGTTACAGTACAAGTAAATCAAGTACCCGCAGAAGAACACAGCAAATGATTGGAAACTCCTGATATACATTCATTGCTGGATTTGAATCCTGTTAACGTGAACACCAAACCAAGAGACTGGGGAAGCTGAAGTTTTGTGCTTTTGTTTTTCATAATCATAAAAATGTCGGGCTCATTTAGGACTAATATTTGGGACCCTGGTCTCATTATCGCTCAGATGCTCGCTTTACAGTCAATATATTATTTTTTCTTGGGACTTTGGCTCGTTTTGGTAGATTGTATCTCACAGGCATCACGATCAGTGGACCAAATGTTTAGTTATGAGGTGAGATGATTTTAATTGCAGCTCTGTGTGTGATTTTGACAAGATGTGTTCAAGTTCTACATTCCTCAAATAATACATAGAAAATCTTCCACAATATATCATGTTTTAACACATTTCTTGCTGACGTAATTTTTTCAATTCATTTTTGCTATCCGTTGAGGCTTTCAGTTGGCGCTGTGTTAAATGCAGTTATTGTTTATGTATTATAATTAATATAATATAATACGTAATGATCATACTGTTTTTACCATTTACAGGATTTGGAATTCAAGTCATTTAATGGCAAGCTAATCATGATAGCATTTGTATTAAATTCCTTGACTGGGTAAGTAAGTTTAAGTAGCATACTATTTCTGTCAAAGTCTTGTTAAATCCACAATCCCGCTTGATATACATGTAAAAACTAAATGGTAAATGTTTCAAGGAAATAAATGCAATTAATCCAAATGAGTGCAGCAAAATGCAAATAATTTATGTAGAAATTCTGTTGATAGACATGTAAAATATTCTGATGTAAGTTAGACAAAACATTTGGGTTGGCAAAGCCTGTATTCCTTTGAACACCATAATTTTTTCCTCTACCATCTCTGTACAATATTGTGCACAGTTTTAAGGTATTTCTCTCTAATTCATTCATGAATTTTGGATCAAATGAACATAATTTTGCATTAGTTGCATATCTTGACCAAATTTTCCAAAGATTTAGGTTTATTTTGAGAATGGTCTGGGTATCATTTATGCTCAATCAGCTTCATATCAAGAATTACATTGTTAGAATTGTAGTGTTCTGCCTCCATAAAAGGAACTAATTTGCATAATAATACTATCTAATTTGCATATTTATCTTGCTACAATAGGAATAGTTAACATATCAATAACATATATTGTTTCTGAAAAGTTCAAACATGCATATTTGTCGGTGACCAAGCATGGTGAAATCAATGTACGCAAAAAAGGCCTGGAATAACACTGGGTAGCTATGAAAGCAATTCTTTATATGTGTTTAGTATTGATTTATGTTTATTCTAATTTGTAAAAATTTTGACTTAATTAGTAGGCTTTTATTTTCAATAAATTTCATGAGTCCAGGGAAAATTTTGAAATAGGGTTCTTAAGTCAAGTCATGGTATCAAGAACATTTCTTTCTGTGAAAATGTAACTGTGTTTTACAGTATTGGAATTTGATTTCTGGCATGTATGAATTCTCTTGCATATTCTTAGATTCAATAATTTATCAAATCTATCACAGGATAATGTGTGAATGTGGATTCTTATTCAGAACCTTAAATATCTGAGTGACAGATGTCCAGTGGTTTATCTGTAATATTATACTCGCATACAATGGTGGCTCGCCATGTGTGGCATTTTGCCGTTCATAAATTGAATAGAAAGTAGAAAAAAGCTAATAAAGAATAGCACTGAGTTAAACAGTTGATATTCTAGTAATAGTTTTTTGTTATGTTGAAGAGAAGAATTTTGCAATCAAAATGTTCATAATACATAATGATGTACATGGCTGGGTCAACATTTGTGCAAACAAATTGTCCAGCATGAAGTTAAAAACAGGAAGTAAACACCCTCCAGCAGCCCAATTAATTAAATTACTAAATTACTACAATTACTAAATTACTAAATTAAATTTCAATCCGAACAGGAATTTAATTACACTCCAATTATTTTGAATTTAATTGAAATAATTTAAATTCAATAAATATAATTAAACATGTCTTAGCAATTATAGTAAAAAGACAGGTTTTTAGAGTATATATCAATTTTGAACTGTTTCAATGATATCTCAAGAGCCTCTTAATGCATTTCAGTGAAACTTGGTACATAGGTGATTTGGGGTTATCCATAGACGTTGTTGGTTTAGCGCTGAAATCGGTAATTTTAATTAGCTAATTTACATAAAATTGGCAGTTTTCAACTGATCCAATGATATATCAAGAGCCACTCATCATATTTCAATAAAACTTAGTACATGGGTGTCCAGGTGATCCAGACAGAAATACTTTAGAGTTGAAGTCATGTATGTTAATTACCTAATTTGCATAAATTAGATGATTTTCTAATATTTCAAAAAACCTCCATCAAATTTTAAATTAAAATTGGTTCATCGTTGCTTCGGTTTGCAAACCACATGTGTGCAGTTAAATTCCTTTTGTTTTTATATTTCCAAATTCCAGTAAGCTGTATTAGCAGACAGGCTTCTTTTTTGAAAAGCTTATCTTAAATTTGTAATTAATTTCAAATATCCCCTATTTGTACTTCAATACTTTCAGAATACAGAAGTTATATTCTCTATTGAAAATGTTTAATTTGAGGCACAGGGCATATATTTTAATTTGGGGAATTATTTACTTGCTTATAGCCCAGAACCACCCATTTCAAAGACTTACAATGTACATTTCTTTTCTTGAATAGCAGCGCTGGAGGACTTTGGTTGTTAATTTCTAGGACGAGACAGTGTCTGGACTTTGCTGCAACTGTACATTTATATCACTTAATTGTCTGCTGGATTTACAATGGAAGTTTTCCAATGACATTATCATGGTGGCTAGTGAATGTGGCTTGTTTAGCACTTATGACTGTATTAGGAGAGTTTCTCTGTATGAGATCTGAAATGACAGCTATACCGGTCTCTGTGGGAGCCAAATCTGATCTATGACATACCGATTCCACCTCCGAGTGGAGTGGACCTGTCTCTGTCGATGGTGCAGCAAATCTGCGGTCTCGGAACCTGGTCAATTGGGCCTGGACTTGAAGCTATAAATATGATTTGATCAACATGGTGGATGCATCTTGATTTTAACATGCCATAGCCCGTGTATTCATCCTCCATCACGTCTCACAATAAGGAGTGCTGTAATTCTGCATATCAGAGAGATGAACAAAGTGACCTGCTGTTTACAGCCTTCATCAGTGACCCAGAATGTTTGACCTGCTGATTAGCTTGCTGGTCTTTATGCATCACCTCCATAATTTATAGCACCGTAAACTTCCAAAGAATGTCCCTCCACTGAGGTGATAAACTATCCTGCTTCTGATTTGTTGTTGTCGTCGTCACTTGTTTCTACTATGACAGATTATTGAATATTGATTTGAGTTTTTTAGCCTCGCTGAACTACAAGGAAGAATTTGCATGGCACTGACAGGGAGGTATCGTCCATCACAGATTTCTAATTAGTGTAATATATACCGGTATAGGTTGCTCTGTAATGGTGTGTGGTGCATCGCTGAACATTTCTACCTTCTGAATTTGTATTATCATGGAGGAGACCAAAATATTCAAAATATTTCAAGTTGCATATTAAATAAAGTCGCAATGTATTACAAACTGAATCTTATGAATTGAATGAATTTTAAATATTACAAGGGCTGCTGATTGAAATTCATTCCATTATTTCAGTGTGTGTGTGGGGTGGAGGGGTCATGAGAAAATTATACATGGTCTTTGCTCTATTAGAAATGCAGGGGGCTCATGTAAATGTAAATATCAAGTTAGATTGCGCATGTATTGGAGATGTATTTCTGATAGATCTAATACTTAATACTGAGAGGAGAAGATGTATTCTTCACATGCATTTACGATATAAAATATTTTTTTACTCAATAGATGTCATCCCCTTCTGTATATTTATTGATCTTTTGTAGATGTATTTGTAAACTAGTCATGAATTAGTAAAATGATGCATTATCAATAATCTCAGCCAGTTGAATATCATTAGTAAGTAATCGTTGCTTTCCAACTGGATCCAGTCAAGTTTATGAACTTGCAGATAAAATGGTGCTAGATTTGTTTATTTTGAAAGTGGTGCATTAATTTATTATGACTCTGCACCGACTGTCAGTGGAATATGGGCAAATATTGGTCAGTAACTGTACTAAAGACTTATAAAAATCTTGTTAAAGAATCTTGTTATTGAAGTTTACACGAGAACTATCTAAACTGGCACTGGAATGTCAGAAAATCTTTTATATTACACTGTTATTTATAGTCACAGATGTATTTTAATGTACTTTCCACGTCTTGTCTTCTAATGCTAACTTTGCTGGATTGTGCTGAACTGAAAGATGCTTGTATTTGTAGTTCAAGGCAATCATATCTAAATGTAGCCTATTGTTTCATTGGTTGCTGGTTACTCTCCTCATTAGGAAATGTCGCCTTGATTTTGATCATTAACCATGTAAAATTTATTCCATGACGAATGGGATGGTTGCACTTTCGTCTCTATTGCAACAACTGTCAGTTGATATAGCACATGCGGAGAAACTGTCATCTATTTTTGGGAAAATTAGCATATTCAGATCAGCAGCGTGGTATATTTAACAGCCAATGAAATTGGAGACTAAATCTCTGCAACATTTCCAGACTATTGAGAGAACCTACAAAACAATACTAGGCTATTAATCTAAATACAAGTTTTTAGAAGCCATCTGCCCAATGAACAGGGTTCTTTGTATGTTCCGATGCAGACAATATAAAAGTTAAACACTGTTGCATACCATTTATTTATTTATTAGGAAAGTCGTTTCTATACGCACAAGGCAATGTATTTCTATTTATTGTAATACCCGACAAGATGCTAAGGAGAAATATTTTTTTGTGTAGCTTTGGCTAAAAGTGCTTTGCATTATTTATTATTTTTGGTGTATACTCTTTATAACTTTAAAAACAGGGATCTCTAAAAGTATGGTTATGCATTTCAAGTTGCAGTCCATAGGATACAGTTAATTTATTTCTGTAACTTCTAGAAAGATGCGCAGTCTTTTTCAAGGGTTTGTACAGTTTCTTTCCTTTCAATGGTGTGTAACTTTGTTGCTATTAGAAGCTCGTACGTTATTTAATGCACAAATATTGTAATGGTGTGATACAAGGAATCATATTTGGCTTATGCGCAGATTTCATACAGAAAATATGCTTAATTTATTGGTATCATGATGTTCACAAATTTATATTATGAAAGTTGTGTATTTAAAAGAATTTGTTGTCACAACTGAGTGTCGTGAATGTCTCGCAGCAATGAGCCAAATCAGCTGCTAAAATGCTGGCTGCGTAAGGGACGTCAGAAGATCGATGTTGGATAAAAAACTTATTTCCATTAGTTTGGGGGTGGGGGGTTTTGACCTCAAAGTTTCCATCCTACAAAAACAATATAATTTTTTAATGAAGTCAAAAAAATCTTGTATTTGTAGTTCGTTTTTTTCTATCCAGTCATTGACAGAAATAACCGAAAATGGAAAAAAACAGAAAATTGGTTTGGTTCGAGTGTGCATGAGGTGCATTTGTAAAATCTGTTTACACCCTCCTGACAACCAACTGCTATGCAATACTACTGTCCGATTATCAATTTGTATTTAATGGTGAATGTAGTCTGACGTCATGACCAATATTTATCAATTAAGTTTCAGTGGGGGGTAGGGGGGGTTTGGAAAAAAACTAAATGAATTAAGTTTTTTATCAGACATCGATCTTTTGACGTCGTCCCTAAGCTTACCGTAATACATAATTTGACAAGCACTGTAATTAACATCTCGGAATCAGTTACTGCAATGTACCATATACAACCATGAGCCATGCATCACCAGCTACCATATTTGGTTCAACTGTTGGATGGAAAAAAAACAACTGAAAAAATGTAAATGCTGTTGGGGGGGGGGGGGGGGGCAATGGCTTATTAAATTTAAAGCTTACGATAATCTATAAATCTGTTACAATTGTAAACAAAACTGACAGTCTTCACGTTTATGTGACTACCTTTGTAATCACAGATGGCCATGTTTTGGTCCAAGTATCGATTATTAAAATATATTCATTCCAGCTCTGGCTTCAGTAGTCTCTTTTTGCATGGCCAGTACATACCTATTCTGATATAACCACCATAGCCTTGTTCATTTGGATCTTAGGCCATGTGTTCCACAATGACACTGAGTGTATGTAAATGTTTTCCCTGCAATTATCAGTCTCGTGTTACTACCATACAATCTTTTCACACGCAGTATGCAAGCATCTTCAGTGTTGTGTAATACACAACAAACTGCACGTCGTATAGTTTGACGTCATATATTGTCAAACATTATTTCATTGTCTACATGTTGCCTGAAGGATGTCCATGATTATATAACTACAGATTGTGGTAAAAATGGTTCATTTTGGCAAGCTTGTGTGGGTATTTCCAGAATTGTTTTTCAGTCTCCCAATGACCTTCATAAATAATATTTACTCTGTACATATCAGTGTACATTTACTACATTTTTCTTACAAGTGTAGTGTTCACGCTATACGTGACATAAAGATTTAAGCTACGGTAATCTTATATCTCGTATGCATATCGGACAAACCCAATTGCGTTCACACACATGAGGAAACTGTGTTCACACACCCTTTGTTAGGCATGCTAAGGATCTGGACCTGGTCTTAAAACGGGCTAGATTTAATCCGTACTTATTTGATATATTTTTCCTATTCCCTGTAAAATGATAAATATATAATCCCATGATATTGTCTCTTAGGTTGACATTAAGATACGATCGTCATTATCACCAGGGTATCATCAGTTAATTCCCACGGTTTGGATTAATACAAAACTTGTCTGAGAAAATACCATGGGATTATACATAAATAGCCCATTTCAACAAATAAGTGCTTCACAGGATATATTTTGCGATTACTAACTTATACTGCAACAAAATGATGAAATTGAAATATTCAGAAGCAATTACGCTTGGATGCTGAGCAACTAATTTACATAATTAAAACATGCTCAGTATTAATTCAATGCATATCATGTGACATTGAAAGTATTATTCTAATTCGCAATATCTCGATTGTTAAAGAGCTCTACTTGCTGTGGGTTTGAATCTCTCCCTTGGCCAGTTAAGGAAAAACTCTGTCTCCTCATCAATTTCAAACATTGCAAGGTAACTAAAATTAGGTCTGATTTACAATCACGGTTTACAATTTATGTACAGTTAGTTCTAGCTAATACAATGCCAGTTTACAATTGATGTAGTTAATGTAGCTTATTACAATTTGCATAAAAACAGATAATTAACAGGAATCAATTTACAGCCAGAACTATGGGTCTCATGACAAAGAGTGGTATAATTTGTACTTCAGCTGTTAAACATTTGGGAGGTTTTGACTATCTAATTGACATTGAACACACATAGCCAATTTAGTAGTAAAATTGTTGCACATGCAGTTCTTTGATCTTGTAAACCATGCCATTGACCATGTTATCGCATTTAACCAACGACATTCTAAAAGGCTCATCGACTAATTCAAGAGAACAGTATTACAAATGTAGGATAGACTTCAAAAACTGATTATACCAGGTTGGTCACCACTCTATCAACAGACAAATCACCAATTATGTTGCCAATCAACTGACCATTTCAAGGGTTCATACTTAATTACAAAAACATACAATTTGTATTTATTACTAATTTTAATAGCATTTAAAATTACAGTGAAAGGCACTACATATTGCAAGTCAAGAAAAAATGTCCAGTACAAAATTTGTTCTTAATTTGCATAGAGAACATCTGACTGGCAACCACGGCAACAAACTTGTAAATATAACATTAGTACACATATATCATGATGTATACCCCAAAACTTCCCATGATAGGTGGATTCTAATTTCTTTCACGTAAACATATTTCCTTTATTAGAAGACAAACATGACATTCTGTGAGGGCGCAATTTTTGCACATGGTTGGCAAGAAAACCCACCCGAAATTGAAATACTGATGTTGCTCATTGCTGCTGTTATTAAATATACATGCATGTGTCTCAGTTATTAAAAACCTATAGGCAACATTGTTACCCATCGTGAGCTAGTTCTGATCCATGCACAATATTTATTTTTCAAACATGCACATGATGGTTGGCAATAACAATTTATGTCACAGTGCATCAGTATACAGAGGTATTACAGGGCTTAGCCTTTTCCACGAAACGAAATGAAACAAAATAAAACGAAACGAAACGAAACAAAACCCTAACCCTAACCTTAGATTTTGAACGACCTCAGTCCTCAAACATCGTCACGTCCGTATTTCACAGTGTGAAATTTTCTCAGATATTATCGGGCAAATGAAAAAAAAAATGCGAGTTAGGGTTAGGGTTAGGGTTTGGGTTTCGTTTCGTTTCGTTTCGTTTCGTGGAAAAGACTAAGCCGTATTACAGGTGATAACAGACAAAATATTGACACGTCCAGGGATCGCTGGGCTAAAAAGAAGAAATAAATATATGTCTTCTCTTTTCATGGAACAAACTGATTCATAACTAAAATATAGAACAAAAGCTTTCTATGTAAATAAACACTGATAGAAATTTCAAGAGCATGGATGGATGGATTTATAATTAATATAATTCAAGTCATGGAAGATAATTGTTCTTTAATAATTTCAATATTTTCTAAAAAATATCATATTGCAAGATAAAAATAAATGCTGTTTGGTCCTGTAAAGCACATTCATTATAACTGAAGTTCAATTATTATTTTAGTATTATTTTCTAGATTCTGATATACCGGTATTCAGACAATACTTTTGAGTGAGGTCATCTTTCACTTGGAATGTTGTGTATGTCTCCCATACTTGACTCCTTGACTGATTTGCATAAATTCCAGTTCCTGGAATGTTTGTATGTGATTTACTAAAATGTAAATTTAATCTAAATATGTTTTCAAACAGTTGGTTTTTCACCATTATTGTTTGCTATGTTCACATCAGCTCCATACTGCAGGAAGAGCTGTTTGATGTCTTCTTTCTCATTATTACAAGCTGTATGTAAGGCAGTATTTCCATCATGGTCCTGAATATCTATATTAGCACCATACTCTATCAACAGCTTAGCAATCTGCAAAGAACCACGCTCTGCTGCCACCATCAAAGGGCTTCTCTGTGAGAAACAAGCAGAAGATAGATAGATAGGGTAAGTTGTTTGTTATCATTCTTGAAGTATGATTATCTGGTACCTGATTTGTGTTATCTACAATGCTATAACAATATAGCATGGGACTATGATTATCTGGTACCTGATTTGTGTTATCTACAATGCTATAACAATATAGCCTGGGACTATGATTATTTGGTACCTGGTTTGTGTTATCTACAATGCTATAACAATATAGCCTGGGACTATGATTATTTGGTCCTGGTTTGTGTTATCTACAATGCTATAACAATATAGCCTGGGACTATTATTATCTGGTTCTGGTTTGTGTTATCTACAATGCTATAACAATATAGCCTGGGACTATTATCATTTGGTACCTGGTTTGTGTTATCTACAATGCTATAACAATATAGCCTGGGACTATGATTATTTGGTACCTGGTTTGTGTTATCTACAATGCTATAACAATATAGCCTGGGACAATTATCATTTGGTACCTGGTTTGTGTTATCTACAATGCTATAACAATATAGCCTGGGACTATTATCATTTGGTACCTGGTTTGTGTTATCTACAATGCTATAACAATATAGCCTGGGACTATTATCATTTGGTACCTGGTTTGTGTTATCTACAATGCTATAACAATATAGCCTGGGACTATTATCATTTGG